TATTTCTTCATCTTGTCTTGTAGCATCGTGCCTTTTTCCATAAGTGTTATTTATGCTGCTCTGGGTTTGTTTCCTGCTTGTGTCTCATGTGATACCTCTAGCAGTGCTCTGTATGCAACATGGTTACATCAATCCCACCTGTACTACTTATCAGCATGAGTGAGATGCTTTATGCTGTTATTACTATGTATAAAGTCCAATATGCCTATTCTGTGATAAACACCCAATATGTCTCAAAATAACCAACAAATCTTAACCATCGGAAACGTTTTTGTAAACATATTAACTCATTTAAATTTAATTTATATATATATATATATATATATATATATATATATATATATATATATATATATATATATATATAAATATATCAATTAACTATGAGGCACACTTTTATTTATGGAAATAATTTAAATGAGCGCTGTATAGCTGGATATAAATCCAAAATTATATTTTCTCTGCTTTATGTTTACTAATACTAAAAGAAATATACTGTTCAGCATAATTTTTCCAAAATTTCCAATGACCTCAGAGTTTTGTGTCAAGAGTTGTGGACTTTTTCTGGTGTAAAACAAAAACATGATGTCATTAGAAAAAGCTTTTCATAATATTGGCTTTTCTCCCCTATGTCAGAAAGTTAACATTGCAATAGAGAAATTATAATACTGAACTTTTAGGAATGTTCTTTTCATATCTAAATAAGCGTTCATGTTTTTGTGACTGATTCCACGAAAGGCCACTAGAGGGCTCTCATAGCCTGTTTTGCGATTCATCGTGGTCTTCGCTCACATGTCATCGGCAGCTGGATTTAGACTCGTACTGAAAGCATTCACTATGTGTTAACTATGGGGACTTTTAACTCTTCTGTGTGTGATGTGCAAGATCAAAGTAGGCTACTTTGATGGCATTCTCTGCATAACATGTCAATAACAAATATGACCAAACTCATTTAGCCTATTACTGTTTCGGCTTAATGTCATATGTTCATGCCATACGCATCGCTGAAGTCCCCAAACGTACATCATTAGCAAATACTCTCTACACAACAAAATACAGTGTGACTGTAAACTATTTTGAAGCACTATGGTGGGAACATTTAAGGTAGTTATTAAAAATGTCAACTTTATCAGTTATTAACGGCTAGGGTTACCTGCCTTGTATATTTTAGGCTTACCTGGGGTTAA